TCAGCCAGAATTCAGCAAGACACACCCTGCCCCCGCTCCCTCAGCCCAGAGCTTGAGTTGCACACCCCTGCTCCATCACAGCCCAAGCCTGCGGGGAGTCTCTGGTGTCTAATACAGAGGTTGAGTGCATGCTGCCTTCCCCCGGAACAAAATGGAGGCAGGTCTGTCCCTTGGCCCCCCCCTCCTGGACTTGGGTCTTCGCACACCCCGGAGGGACCGAGGGCTTCAGGGCCTCTTCCCCCTCTCCCAAATCCTGCTGATGTCAGCGCCAGGCTCAGCAGCTTGATTGCGGGGACAGGCACCAAGCATCATGTGGCCTCTGCCATTTCCCAAGAAACCAGATTAAAAAGAAGAAAAAGAGAATAAGAGGAAAAAGAAAAGAAAAAAAGATAAAAAAAAGAAAAAAGATAATAGAAGAAATGAAAAAAGAAAGAAAAAAAGAAGGAAAAAATAAATGACAAAAAAAAATCCAAACAAAAAAAAACCAAAACAAAGCTACAAGAAAGAGAGAGCAGAGCGCTGGCGAGCCTGGCAGTGACCGAGGACCACCACTACACTGCGCTCGCAGGGACACAATGACGGGACCACTGAGGTTTAAGCAAGTGGGGGGGACACTCCCTGGGAGGCTGGGGTGGTCAACCCACCGTGCCCTGTCCCCACGCTCGGACTGACCCAGCAGCAAGGGGGCAGCCACCCCACCACGATGCGTGTCCCGCCCGGCCACTGCCGGTGTGACAGCCCACGTGGCAGGGAGGAAAAGTTTCTGTTTGCTTATATTGGAGAAAAAAAACCAGAGGGGATGGCTTTTGCAGCACAGCGAGCAAGGGGGGGAATAAAAGGCCCTGGTCCTGGCCAAGCAGGGTCCTTCTTCAGTGACCCCAGAGACGAGAAAAACAAAGCAAGGACAGGCTCTTGTCACTATGTCATTTTAATTGCATCGACACCCAGATATACACAAAAGGATACGTGCCAAGAGCTGCCCATCAAAGAGAGGCTTCCTTCCATGGTGGGTCTTACTTTCACACTTCTTTCACGCCAAAAAAAAAGGAAAAAAAAAAAAAAAGAAAAAATATATAATAACAATTGCACCGGTTGATGTACAGACACAGTCTTCCCTTTTCACACATTCATGGGGTCTGCTGTGGCAAGGAGGGTGAAGCCCTGGCACCCACCGGAGCGGCTCCCCGGGGAAGGAACCGTTGTACAAAACAGTTTGAGGATTTGCTTACAAACGTTCACCTGCAGTGTTTACTGGTCGGGGTTTTTTTTTTTTTTTAAAGTTTCAAAACTAGGTTTTGGGTCACTAATGGCTTGTATCTTTTATCTACAGTAAATTCAGCATATATCTTTATTTTTAGGAATGTGTAAGGCATTTTGGTAAGTCGAACAGGAAGGTCTAGGTCACAGACTCGTCAAACTGAAGTCCCTTCCTTTGAACTGTCCTCTTCCCCCTGGAAAAGGAAAACAGAGGTGGGTTACTCGACCTTGTTCTCACGGCAGCTCCAGCATCAAAGCATTTCACAGAGGGGCTGGCTCCTGCCGTTGAACCACCACCACCATCCCGTGTGGTCCTAGGGCTTCCCAAAAGCCACCCCCATGCTTTTGGGCAGCAGGTGCCACCTTGCCTCTGGTTTTAAACCACCATCTGACGCTGGCTTTCCCCCAGCCTCACTGGTGTCGAGGGGAGGGATGACCACGGCCACCACAAGTACCGTTTCCTGAAGCTGTTCTTTCAACTTCCTCACTGTTTCTCTCTCTTTGGCCAGTTGGTCCTGGGTAACCTTCAGTAGCTCCTGGAGTTTGGTTGCTGCCTGGCCCAGGTCCTTTGTTAATTTTTTTTCTTTTTCAAGTCTTTCCTACATGGGAGGCAAAAGAAGGCACCTTCCTGAGCCTCCCTGTACCGTCTGGTGACCTTCCCCCATCCAAAACACCTCGGGGCACCTGGGGTCTGCACCCAGCTGCCTCCGTGGCCCCAAGCCAGAGGAGCACCCCGCTCCCTCCCTGCCGGAGGGGCCAGGCATCACCCCCTCTGACTCCCCATGGGCTGAGACAACCCCACGCGAGCAACAGGCGAAAAGCGCAGCCCGTGAGAGCATTTGCTCAGAGCATCACCCTCATCCTGCCCAACGCGGATGAGGCGGCTGTGATCTGCACCCTGCTGTCCCTTTGCCACGCCGGAGCTGGGCAGGGAGCTGCCTGCAGGGGAACCATCCCCCTGACCCCACCATCCCCAAGAACGACAGATCACGCCCTTAGTCCTGCTCGTACGTGGCTTTTGCTGCCTTGGCCGAGTGCCCAGCACAAGGGAGCAGGGCAGGATGTTTAACATCCTTATCCATGACCTGGATGAGGGGATGGAGGGCTCCCTCAGTCAGTTTGCTGATGACACCAAACTGAGCGGGTGTGTTGATCTCCTTGAGGGCAGGGAGGCTTTGCAGAGGGATCTGGACAGGCTGGACCCATGGGCTGAGGCCAGTTGTATGAGGTTCAATAAAGCCAAGTGCCGGGTCCTGCACTTTGGTCACAACAACCCCCTGCAACGCTACAGGCTC